AAAAATGAATATAACTTCGGTTGATTAAACTAAAGAAAAAAATGATTGTCGAGAATGATATTTGTGAAAAAAATATGGTCGCAGGATGGAATCAGAACGTTTTTGATCCTATTATAGGCTTGAAAACTTCAAAAATGATGGAATCCAAAAAAAAAACTTTTTGGTCGCACTCGGAATAACTCGTGACGCGTCGCGGTTGCGTTGCGTTGATGGAAATAAATAATTTTTCCAAATCTCTACGGAATTCAGACTCGGGTTGAAGAAAATCTCAGCAAAATTTTGGTCGCACTTGGAATGGCTCGAGACGCGTCGCGGTTGCGTTGCGTTGATGGAAATAGATCATTTTTCCAAATATTTACGGACTTCTCAGACTCAGGTTCAAGAAAATCTCAGCGAAATTTTGGTCGCACTTGGAATGGCTCTAGACGCGTCGCGGCCGGTGTTGGGAAATTCTTTTTCCAAGTTTGGAATGGCTTCGGAGACAGAAAACTGACTTCAAATTCAAATACATTGAAAAAAATGTTTCGGTCGCATTTGGAATGGCTCGTGACGCGTCGCGGTCGATTTTTCAAAAAAATTTTTTTCTTAAATTATTTTCATTTTTTGGTTCGAAAATAAAGATTTTCGCCGCATTTGGAATGGCTTGGAAAAAAGCTGGAAGTAGGAAAAATCTTCACAAAAACGAGGAAATTCGCTTTGGAAGATATGATGCGATTAGAAAAGCTCACTAAAAATAAATTTAACGGCTTTTTTCTATTAAAACTTTAATTTTGTCACAAAATCTCAAAAACATAACTAATATTCAGAAAAATACACTTTTTTTTATTCAAAGGCTCAAAGTTCTAGTTGGAAAAGTTGTACAAAGAGCGTTTTCTTCTGGGAGAAAAAGGCCTAGAAAACGATTTGGTTCAAAAGTTGAAAGCTGAAGAAACTAAGAAGTTTTTTCTTCCATGGGAATTTCTCGAGAATCGCTGTTGAAAAGACTTGGGAAGGGCTCGGCACTTGTGAATAGAAAAGGAAAAATCTTATTTTCACTCACGTGAATTCTTTTCTTTTTTTGTTATTGTTCTCTCTCGGTCTCAAGTGTCAAAGTTGAGCATGAATGAACTAATTTTCAGAGAGCATGAAAAAAAAGAGAAGAAACAGAACTTTATTTGATTTCAACCGAAAAACTCGGAAAAAAAAACCTTCTGAAAGTCCTTCAGGGGTATACTAAAGGACCCACTTTTGTGCCCCCTATAGGGTACCCTGAATGGTCATTATAGGGAGTTTGTAGGAAGGGCCTAGTAGGAGTTCGGGAGAAGACCTTAAACCGAAGCTAAAATTTACAAAAAGTTTATATATTTTTTTCTGAATTTTTAAAAGTACTGCTTCATTTTGAAGATGAATCAAATTCATTTGAATTTTTTCAATTTTTCCGTAAAAAGTAAGAAATATAAAATCCTCATTATTTCAAACAGTTTCGAGCCCTTTCATTTAAAGTCAAGAATCAACGAACATTAATTTGAAAAATTTTTATTCAGATCAACTTCAACCGAAATCATGCATTAGATGGTGAAAAAATGTCAAAATCAGAAGAAAAAAAAATCGAAAATTCCCAAGAGTTCGAAAAAAGCCTATTTTCTGGTACGACACTCCGTTAGAACGCTCGAAAATTGGCTCGAAAAAAAGATTTCAAGAGGGCTGTCTAGGGGGAAACACGTCTAAGGAGGTATACTAAAGGACCCACTTTTGTGCCCCCTATAGGGTACCCTAAGTGGTCATTGTAGGGAGTTTGCGGGAAGGGCCTAGTAGTAGTTCGGAAAAGGAGAATTTCCTATAGGAGACACTAAGTCCCAAACTCCTTTCAGGGTCCACTAGACCTCAAATTCCCTTCAGGACCCACTAAAATTGGAATCAAAATTATATGATCGGAAAACTAGTAAAATCCAGAAAATAAATTTTCTTTGGTCGCACTCGGAATGGCTCGTGGCGCGTCGCGGTCAGAATCCGAAAAGGCCTTTTTCAGGACTTACTAAACCTCAAATTCCCTTCAGGACCCACTTCAGCGTTTCCTGGCTTAACAGCTATAACCGATAGATATTCCAAAAAAATCGGAGTTATCTTACAAAAAGTTAAAGTTAAAAATAAAATAACGCGCGTCAAATCCAATCATTCAAGCGTGGAATAACCTAAAACTTAAAAAAAAAACGTTGGACGTCATGAAAAGGAAAAAAAATTGCATACTCTGTGATTCGATTCACGCCTTTTTCGCTGCTAATCTTCGAGGATTAATCAAAAATGCCTGGCAAACGAAAGAGGAAATTGGTTTATTTGGAGAGATCGAGGGAAGCTTAAAAATATGGGAGATTCATCATTCCGAATATGGGGCAAAAGCTATGTTTTGCGATTTATCAAAAAAAAAAAATGTGAGGTGTAATTTTTCAAAACCAACCATTCAATTTAGGGGATTTTTTTCAAATCCAGAATTTAATGCCCTTTTTTGAGACGCAGAAATTGATGCGACACTTGCGGAAAAATCAAAAATTGAGGCTTTTTCGAGATGAAAAATAGTCAAAAAAGGTACGAAAAAAATCCGAAAAATTAACTTCCGATTATTTATGATAGGATAATTTTCCAAGGTTCTGAGATTTTTAATTTTGATGGAAATTTTGAAAAAAATCCAAGATTAGGGGTTCCAAAATACATTTTCGGTCACTCAATTCGTAAAAATAATCTTGTCCTTGAAAGGTCATGTTACTGTTCAGTTCGGAATTCCTTAAAAATCGGCTATAACACTCCTTGATGTACTTAATAAAGATTCTGAAAGTCTCAACCTGTAAAACTTCCTAATTTTCCAGAAAGGACACCTCAAAGTTCTCTTAAAATAAGCCATTTTGCTCCCCCTTTTTTTCAAAAACTAGACAACTGTGCACATTCTGAATCGTCTCCTGGCAAATAATGAACATTTCTCTTCTCAGGAAGTTCTCAAAATGACCTCACTTCTCAGCTTGTAGTTGAAACTCACATTGGCGTCGATGATGAACAGCTTGCTCCGGAAGTTGGCCACGCTGGTGGCCGTCGTGATGAAAGACGGCGTTCCGTCCGGCTCGGCGTTATGACGACGTCGCCAGGGTCGGATCTGGAATGGAACCGGAGATTTATGATCCTGTTTGCAGTGAAAAACTTTGAGAGAAAGTTGTTCTTTTCTCCAAAAGTGCTGCTGTGTAGCCGTGCCGTCTCGTTTTTGAAAAAAAAAATTTTTTTTCAACTTTTTCTCCAAGTGCGTGAGAAACGCGATGTCGCGCAAAAAAAAAATGCGGATCCGGCGCGGTAAAAAATCGATCCACTTTACGACGACATCGCTATTCTCTCGCGGCGGGCTAAGCAATTATTTAGTGATCATAAGAAAGAGTGACGAAGGCGAAATTATTCGCGGTACATTGACGACATCGCAACAGTGCTGCTGACTTCGCTTTTTTTGGAAATGTTCAATTTTTACAAGTCCGTGCGAATAGGGAGATGAATGCGATGTCGCACCATGAAAAAAGCGAGTCTAGCGTGGCGAAAAAGCGCTTCATTTGCGAGGTTGTCAAAAAAAAAAGCCAGCGATATCGCGTTTCTCTCGCGCCGTACTAGGCAGCTATCTTCAGTGTCGCGTTTGAAAATCTCATTTTTATTTAGCACGTAAAAGATCTCGAGAGAAATGCGATGTCGCGTCAGGATGAACTCTTGTACTACGGTGCGGCAAGAAAGCGATATGGCCAGCGATATCGCTTTTCTCTCGCAACGGACTAGGCAGGTATCTTCAGTACTCCGTTTCGAAATTTTCATTATTTTTTAAGCGCGTGAATATGGCGAGAGAGATGCGATATCGCGTCAAGATAAACGCGTATACGGCGAGGCAAAAAAGGCGATGTCGCCAGCGACATCGCGTTTTTCTCGTGCAGAAGTAGGCAGTTAATTCAGTGCCGCGTTTGGAAATTTTGATTTTTTTTAGGCACGTGAAAAATCGCTAGAGAAATGCGATAACACGTCAAGATGAATGCTTATACTGCGCGGCAAAAAAAGACGGTGTCGCCAGCGACATCGCGTTTCTCTCGCGGCGGACTATGCAGTTGTTTTTAGTGTCGCATTCCGGAAGTTTCCAATTTTTTCCAAGTGCGTGAGAATCGCGAACAGAAGGCGAGATCGCGCAAAAATAAACGCGGCGAAAAAGCGGTATCGCCAGCGACATCGCGTTTCTCTCGTGTGAAACTAGGAACTCATCTCTAATGTACTGCAGTGTACATTTATAATGAGAGAATGAAATGTTGTAAATCTCACATTGAAGGTCCACTGGGAAAGGAGCGAAGACGTGGACAGATGGCGTGAAAATCGGCGGCTGATGCGTCGATTTCTCGGCGCCAAGGGGTCGGCGATGGTTTTCTTGCGACGCGGCGCCGGGTGGTCGGACCTGTCGACCAAGGGGGTCGTCGTGCTCCGGCTTCGCTCCCGCAGACGTTCGCGCTTCATCTAGAGCTTCCATTATGAGAAAAAGGCGCTTTGGATGTGTAATGAACATCTCGAAAACAGAAATGATGTGTTCTTTGATTTGACAGCACAGGCGAGAAAAAGCTACCGTAAACAGAGCCTTTTTACAACTTTCACGGCTGGCTTGAGCCATCGAAAAATGGGTCCCGACACGATAAAAAAAAAGAGATAGCGCCTGGTTGGTGGAGGGCGCAGACAGGCCACGCCCCTTTCAAGCTAGCCAAAAATCGGCTCTACAAAACTTCGAAAAAGACTGGAAAGAAGGGTCTCGAAGCGAAGTTGGGTCAAAATTGGTATACGGTATTTTTTCGCCAAAAAAAAGGCCAGCTGGACCGGAACAAGCTATTTTTCAAGGAATAGATCGTGATAAATAGCCTGAGACCAAAAAAAAGGTCGAGTTCGGTGAAAGTGCGCTCCAAGGCTAATTCTAGCTTTTTCAGGCTTTTTTACAAATTTTTTTTCGAAAATACTTCAAAATCTGAAATGAAGAGATTTTTCAAACCAAACTAGAGACTTCTGGAACTAAAGAAGCCAAAAAAATTTTTTTCGAAACCAAAAAAATTTCAAATATTATATCCAAATTTGAGTTGAAAAAAACCAGAAAAAAACGTTGATTTATTGTTTGATTAATTTTTTTATTTTTCTTAAAAAAATAATAATCACATATTATTAAAATAATGACAGGTTTGTTCACTGAGAAAAAAATTATAAATCGCCCAAAATATGGATTTTTTTCAGCTCTTCTTCCACTAAAATTACACTTTTCAGACAATTTTTTTCCGAATATGAGAAAAAAATAATTAGAATCTGAAGATGTCCTTTAAAAATATGAGTTTCTGAACTAAAAAAACCAAAAATCGGTGGGAAAATGATTTTTTTATGAACTTCCCACTACTAAAAACCTTTTAGAAATGATAAATTCTCGAAAAAAATCAAAAAAATCTTAATTTAAGAGCAAAAAAATATTGAAAAAAACCATCTGGAAAATGTCCTCAAAATCTTCTTTTAAAACTTTTTAAAATCCGAAAAAGAAGTGAAAAAAATCAGCTGAAAAAAATACTTTTTTTCTTGGTCCTTGTACCTTGAAAATAATAAAAAACTACTAAAATCCCAAAAAAGAACGTCCAAAAATAAGCCTCACCCGTCCAGAAGTGCAAATGAAAGTACGGGAAGTGGAATTTGATTCACAAGGATGTGCCCCGTTTTTCTTTTCCCAATTCTCGAATCGACTCAGAAGGTGGGACCTTTTCTGGACTCGAATTTGTTCCTTGGTGCTTCTCGAAATCCTCGCATCAAGTGCGCTTGAAAAAAACGTTCACAAGTTTCTCTAATGAACAAAAAAAAGATAAAAAAGGGAAAATCTGAGATTTTCAAGTGGGAAGTTCAAAGTCTGCTTGAAAAAAAAAATAAAATTCAAGGCTACCGAGGAAAAAAACCAATCATTCTCGAGCAAAATTGTGACAATTGGAATCTGCGCCCGACGCAAACAGACTTGCGCCTAGTCGTACCACAAAGTATGAAAACATATTCTTCTTAGGTCCAAAGAATTCAAAAATTTCAAATAAAGTTTAAATCCGAGGCTTCCAAGGAGAAAAAAAAACTTATTTTTTGAACAAAACTGTGATAGAATCAATCTGCGCCCGACCCAAACAGACTTGCGCCTAGTCGTACCACAAAGTATGAAAATATGTGCTTTTTAGGTCCAAGAAATCTAAAAAAAATTCAATTAAAGCTTAAATCCGAGGCTTCCGATGAGAAGAAAAAAAAACTTATTTTTGAACAAAATTGTGACAAGTGAAATCTGCGTCCGACCCAAACTGACTTTCGCGTAGTGGAACCAGAAAGTATGAAAATATGTTACTTTCAAGATTTTCAAGTGTGAAGTTCAGAGTGATCAAAAAACATTAAAGCCAAGGCTCCCGAGGAAAAAACCAATCATTCTCGAGCAAAATTGTGACAATTGGAATCTGCGCCCGACTAAAACTGACTTGCGCTTAGTGATACCAGAAAGTATGTAGTTATGTTCTCGTACAATTTAGGAAATCTCAGAGATTTTAAAAATCAATAAGAACGTCCCAATTTCCTCTGATGGAGAAAAAAGAAAGATAAAAAGGGGGAACTGAGAATTTCAGTGGGGAGTTCATAGTGTGGAGAAAAATTAGAAAGAAACAAAAAAAAAAGCGATGAAAATTCAAGATCAAGGTTTATGATGAAAAAAAAGTCTTTTTTGAAAAAAATGATAAAAAGTGAAATCTGCGCCCGACTCAGACCGACTTGCGCCTAGTCGTACCATGAAGTGAGAAATTATGTCCTTCTACGGTCAAAAAATCTCAGAAACAGAAAAAATCGATAAAGAAGCTTTACACCATGAATTTTGAAAAGAAAAGTTTTCAACCACGTTTTTTTTTCCAAAAACAAGCCAAAAAATCCGAGAAAAGTTCACTTTTCAATATGCTCAAGAAATCAAAGGCCGAGGGCGTATGAGCCCCGAAAACAGGATATTTTCAAGTTATTAGTACCTTTTTTCGAAAAAGTACATTTTCATAAAAATAAAGACAAGTTTGAATCATATGAAATTGTAGACATTGGGAGTAATTTCTTCAATTAAATTAGTCTAGGAAAAAAAAAAACTGGGCTCAGATGGACTTTTGAAAGGAACGGAAAAAGAGAAGCTATGGAATAATTGAAGCCAAACGAAGGCGGAAATTAAAATAAACATCGAAAAATGGCGTGGGAGGATTAGGAAGTCCAATGAACGTTCAGTCGAAGCGCAGTGAAATTAAGGAGCTTCAAACAGTTGATGCGCAGCGAAATTTAGGGGCTTTAAACAGTCGATACGGAGTGAAATTTAAGGGCTCTAAAGAGTCGATACGGAGTGAAACTCAGAAACTTCAGACAGTTGATGCGCAGTGAAATTTGGGGCCTTTAAACAGTGGATACGGAGTGAAATTTGAGGCCTGTAAACAGTCAATGCGCAGCGAAATTTGGGGAATTTCAACAGTCGATACGGAGTGAAACTTGAGGCCTGTGGACAGTCAATGCGCAGCGAAATTTGGGGAATTTCAACAGTCGATACGGAGTGAAATTTCTGGGCTTTGAACAGTCGATGCGCAGCGAAATCTAGGGGTTTTAAAGAGTCGATACGGAGTGAAATTTGAGGGCTTTGAACAGTCGATGCGCAGCGAAATCTAGGGGTTTTAAAGAGTCGTTGCGCAGCGAAATTTAGGAGTCTTTTGATATGAATCAAGGTCACTTTTCAGGCTTCAGAATCAAGCTAAAACAGCTGATTTTTTAAATTGATCTAAAAAAAATCGGCCTCTCAAAATCCTTGAGATCCACCTACTGAACGAGGGTACATTCGAAAACATAAAAACACCTTAAATTTCAAAACTTCCCTCAAAAAATGTTCTTTTTGCATTTACCTTTCCTGGACAGTTCTGTCAATGAGCTAATTTCTCGGATTTTTTTTTGAGGGATTGTAAGGTTTTTTTTCAATAGTTTCGAGTTCATAAATCTCATAAAAAACTTTTTCAGACCTTGAATCAAAAAAAAGAATATCTTATGAAGCAAAAAACGCAGTTATAACTACAAATCGAATTACTTGAAGGAGCTTCTCGAACCTTGCCCCCATTCAAATTGAGTGAAAAATTCCTTTTTTCGGCGAAAAATTGAAGGAGGTCTCTGAGAGACATTTTTTTCCTCCTTGGTCAGGTTCAGACTAAAAATAAAACTTAAAATTCAGCTTTAGATAGTGAATTATTCGCGAAAAATTTATTTTTCATCAAAATTTCAATGAATACTCGTCAAACTTTAAAAATTCTGGTTTCTCTGCACTCTCTCGTGTTTACGTGTTATTTTCATATTTCTGTGACGTCAGAGGTTAGAGAAAAGAGGGCGCAGACAGGTCAGACTAAAAAAAAACTAGCCAAAATTTGAAATATTCTGATTTCTCTGCACTCTCTCGTATTTACGCGTTATTTTTCCTATTTCTGTGACCTCGGAGGTGAGGGAAAAGAGAGCGCAGACAGGTCAGACATTCTCAAGTTGTGGCGAATGAACTAAACCAGCTCAAAACTTTACTTGGTAAAATTTTGAAACATCAAAACGATTAAAGAAAATAAACTATATCTAATCTGGGCAAAAAAACAAAACCGTAATTTTTTTTAGGTTTAAAAGGAACTGAAAAGAGAATAACGGCTATTTTTGCTCAAAAATCAAAAAAATCTTCGCCAAAAATAAAAAGTTTCCGATTCTCTGCACTCTCTCGCTTTCACGTGCTATTTCTTACGTTTTTATAAGCTTGTAAGAGAGATAAGAGGGCGCAGACAGGTCAGACATCATTTTCACTATGTGATGAATAGATTATGGAACCAAAAAAAAAAATTCAAAACGTCCTAGTTTTTCCAAAAAATCGAGAAAAACCTTCAATAAAAATCCCCTGAAATAATTTTTAAACTTTTCAAAAAAATGATCTTCTGCAAAATTTCCTTCTCTTCTCCTAGACATATTTTACAAGTCTAAGACCTATCAGGCGAGAGAAAAGAGAGCGCAGACATGACAAACTTTGCAAGATGTCTCGGATGTAGTCTCCATTGTCTTTTCAAAACATCGGAACGAATGAAAAAATCAATTTTGCAAGTCTATGTGAGAGAAAAGAGGGCGCAGGCATGTCAGAAATTCTGAAAATGTGACGAATGACTTCGAAAAAGTATCGAAATGTACCAATCGATAAGTAGTACCGAAAAAGGATCAAAATTATCATAATTGTCTTTTCAAAACATCGGAATGAATGAAAAAATCAATTTTACAAGTCTATGTGAGAGAAAAGAGGGCGCAGACAGGTCAGACATTTTGAAAATGTGACGAATGACTTCGAAAAAATATCGAGAAAAGTTCAAAATTTCCCTAATTTTTTTTTAAAACATCAGGATGAATGAAAAAATCAATTTTACAAGTCTTTGTGAGAGGAAAGAGAGCGCAGACAGGTCAGAAATTTTGAAAATGTGACGAATGACTTCGAAAAATATCGAGAAAAGTTCAAAATTCCCCTAATTGTTTTTTGAAACATCGGGATGAATCAAAAGTTCAATGAAACTCATCTAATCTGACTTTAAATCAACTTCAAAAGGAAACTCCTCTGCAAAACTTCCTCCTCTTTTTCTTGACCAACTTTACAAGTCTCCTGGCATCTTGACATCTGAAAAGGAAATGAAAGGGAGAAACTACGAAAATGTCGAGGAACGAAAAAAAAATGCATAAGAAATGAAGCTTTTTTCGGCCCTAATCCACTTTTTTTGCAAGTCTTTTCGGTGGGAATTCGAAAAAATGTTTGCGTTCCAATTTCGTCTCGAATTTGAATGAAGATGAGTTTTGGAAATCGAAAAACGGCCTGCAAGAAATTTCGTTATATTTTACGAATATTCTTTTTTCCGGGTTTTTTGTACTTTGTTCCTTTGAAAACACACTTTTCGTGTTAAAAAATATTAGAAATTTGAAAAAGAAGTTCTTGCAGCACTTACTGATTATTTTGAGCTCGAGCTCCTCGATTCAAAATTTCATGGTCGCACTGAGAATGACTGAACGCGTCGCGGTCGCGCTGCGGTTGAAAAAAAATAAATTTCTGATTATCCGGTTGAATTGAGCTTTTCCCCAAAAATTTTTAGTAATTTGATGAATACTGGTTTATGTCGTTGCGTTAAATGTACTTCATTCGTAGTTCAATTATGATTTTTTGATGATTTTTCCAATTGTTCGCATGCGGAATGGCTCAGGGTCGCATTTGGAATGGCTCAAAGTCGCGTTTGGAATGGCTCAGGGTCGCATTTGGAATGGCTCAAAGTCGCGTTTGGAATGGCTCAGGGTCGCATTTGGAATGACTCAAACTCGCGTTTGGAATGGCTCAGGGTCGCATTCGGAATGGCTCGAGGTCGCATTTGGAATGGCTAAAACCGTTAAAATCACAATTCGCCGCGGCGACTCGAAAAAAGAATTATGACCTCAAAGATCACCTTTTTTTTAAACAAAGTCGTTTCAAGGCCGGGCGCAGATTCTTAATTCAAAATCAGCGCCGTTCTTCGTTCCACCACGATTTAATTTATAATTAAAAAAATTAATTTCCCGGTAAAAAAATTCTTCAATAGCTTGGGAAAAAGAAGAAAAAAACTCGAAAAACGTTGTTTTTTTCAATATATTCCGAGATGAAGCTATAAAATAAGAAATGAAAGTTTTGAAGATTCCTCGCAGATTTTTCTGCATTTTTTTGCTTTTTTTCTTTCTGTCTACTGGTTTCATTTCCTCCGAAAATTTGTTCCTTGATTTCAAAACAGCTTTAAAAATATGAGTAAAAACCTTTAACAATTTTATTTTTCCAAGTATAAAATTTTTTTCTAAAAACGGAAGAAAATGAGGGAGAATTTCAGGATTCAGTTTGAGAGAGAAAAATGGCGAAAATGTACTTTTTTGGGCCTTGAGAAGCTTTGAAAGTCAAATTTCGGTCAAAAGCCGATCGAGCGTGAGGAAAAAGTAAAAATAAGCGGAAAAAGAAACCAAAAATCTCGTTTTCAGTCTTTTCAGCTATTTTTAAACTTCAAAACTGAATGGAAACAGGGATATCTGCTGATTATTAATTGTTTTCCATTTACATCTTGATGATAATTAAATAAGTTAATGAGAGAGAGAGTTATCCTATGAGTAATTCAGTTCTTTCAAAACAACTAAAAAAATAATTTCAAATCAAAATAAAAAGAGTTTTTCTAGGAATCAGAAATTCAAATCATTTTTCAAATATTTCGTTTCAGTTTCAAAAATTTACTAAAAATAATTTCCACTTCCATTGCCAGTCTTCTAGTAACTTGAAAGTTGGTCTGAATTCCAATTGCACAAAAAACTTTTTGGACACATTTGAAATAGATTCCTTCAAATCGCGTCCGACTAAAAATGACTTGCGCACAGTGGCATCGTAAAGCATTTAAAAAAAAGTCACGCTGCGCTTTAATCCATTCCAAATGCGACCATGACTCTCAAATTACGGCAAGTGAAGTCGATTCATTATTGAAAAACTCAGTAAAACAGTTTCCGCTTTATTTTCACACTTCTGAACATTTTGGACGCGTTCGGAATGGATCGCTTCAAAATGCACCCGACCAGAAACGACTTGCGCACTAAGGCACAGAAAATCATTAATAAATCGTTCTTTGAGCCATTCCAAATACGACCAAGGGTTCCGAATCGTGGTCAGTATATTTAATCTCAAAAAATGCTCTCACCAGACATAAATCTGTTTAGATAAAAAAATGTTTTTTTTTTTGAGATTTTCTCCATTATTGGCTCATAAAAGGCTTCCAAGAATCCAAAACGTGTCCTTTTTAATTGGTACCACAGTTAAAAACTAATAAGGTAACTGCTTCATAATGCACCCGACCAAAAACGACTTGCGCACTGAGGCCCCGGAAAGCATTAGAAAATCTCGTACGATGATTTGAGCCATTCCAACTGCGACCCAGGCTTTCAAATCGGGCAGAGTGAAGTATATTCATTATCAAAAAATGCTGTGCAATTTAAAAATGATTATATACTCATCCATAGCTCAAGGAAGGCTTTCGAATGTCTAAAAATCATTTTTTACCACTTTTCTTCCGTTTTACAATCAAAAATTTATTTTTTCCCTTTTTGACTTTGAAACAATCTTCACGACATCTACGCAATTCCAAAATACGTCTAAAAATGTCGCAATTTTGCAATTATTCTCCTTGAAAAAGGTTAGAAAATAGCCTTTTCGCGGGGAAAGAACTTTGATAATTGAGAAAAAGCCCTTTAAAAGTCGAAAGTTCACAGAGTTCATTGGAACTTTTAAAAATCTAAAGAAAAGGACAAAAATAGCTGTCTGAGAAGCTCAAAGAACATTCTCAGAGTTCTAAAAACTTCTGAGATTCTTCAGAAATTGGATGAAAAAACGGGGAACGAAGTTTTCGGGACGTTCAATGGAGGCGGAAAAAATGTAGACTTTGCGTTTGAAATGAAAAGTCTAGGCGAGTATTAGGCGAGGCTCAAGGAGGGGTTCACGGAAATTGAAGATGAAAATTGATGAATTTCATGCACTTCTGACCTTTTCCTCATGTTTTTTGGGCTTAGGTTAAAATAAAAAGACGGAAAAATGAAAAATGGTTGCATTTCGTATGAGGAGACCGACAAAATCATTGGAAAAAAAATTTGGTGACAATGAATAATACTAATAATAATTATACAGCTTATAGAACCAAAAGAAACATCAAGCGAAAGCGTATGAAAATGAAGAATTAAAACCTATCCAATTACCAACTTATGAAGAATATTCAAATATCAAAAATGATTTCTCCAAGGTACCAAGTTATGAAGACTATTTGAAAACTAAAGATCCAGAAATCTCTGATTCCGTAAAAACTAAAAAAGCTTGTAAGACTTCCCTGTTAGGATGAATATAGTCTGTTCAGATTTTTAATGTCAACCAGCTAACTCCGCCCCCGCTGAGAACGTACCTTTTCGCGTCGATGTTTTATCGCGCGGGATTAATTTTGATCTTTTTTGATCTAAAAGATAGAAAAAGAAGTCAAAAATGCAGCCTCATTAAAGGGACATCGTCATCTGTAGATAAAAAATTGACGCGAAAGATACTGTAGCCTTGAAGGTGGAGTTAGCTGCTTGACATTAAAAATCTGAACAGACTATACGTTCCTAAGTTTGCTAAATATGCTCTCAAATAATTAGAAAGAACTATGCGAGGGATAAATTCCACCACAATGCACACCATCACTATTTAGTTTCTTCTCATCAATCACTAAATGTTTCTTTCTGATAAATGACATTTGTATGCATGGGCTTGTGATCACAGTTTCAATCCAATAAACACATTTATTCGGCAAAAGATTTGTAAATTAATAAAAATGTACTGATATAGCCTGTGTTCCACGACTTGGAATTTCACCAAACGACATTCCGCTGTGCCGCTGCGCGCCTTTGCGAACCTTGGTTGCGCATTTAATTTTTTTTTTCTTCTATTAAGGTACTCTACTTTCATGTGCTCCCACAGAAATAACAATCAATTGAAAGCGTGACCTGTATTCGAAATACGCTTCGCGAACGCACGCAGCGGAACAGCGGAATGTCGTTCCGTGAAATTTCAAGTCGTGGCACACGGACTATATACAGATTTCAAACAATTTAACAATACCTACATAAAAAAAACTATCGTTGAAGACTTTAACTGAGCTGCCTGCATTCAGCCTTTTCAAGAAGCATTCGATAAATGGCATGATTTACTTTGGGGTAAATGTCGTTAATATAATTGTAGATGATATGATCAACTGTTTTTCTGTCTATTTTGCCTCCAAGGTTGACCGAAAGAATTTCTTGAAATTTACGCTTAAAAATAGTGCGAATAGTGGGAAAGCGCTTGTCCAAGAACGCGATAACGGGAGGGAAATTTTTTTCAAAAAAGTACTCGCTATCGAGACTTCTATCTTTGCTGCGCTCCCTCAAATCAAAGTATTCCTCCATGGTCAAGGAGGATGTGAGCTCGTCTGCACTCGGCTTCCTATAGTTTGTCCAGGGTCCTGGAGGAGCGAATCCGAGAGCAGCGCGCATTTCCGTCGAAGCAATTATATCGGCCGCTTCGGTGATCAAATGATGATTGAAACCCCGCGCGTGCAAGTGTCTTATTAAATCGCCTGACAGTTGCTCGTGCTCTAGAGGTGTGATGCAGGAAGCGGCAAGCTTGGTCAGCTCGTCGTCAATGACGAAGAGTAGAGGAGGTGATGTGGACGGCGGCTCATGCGCAGAGGAGAGGTTGGCTGATGTTGCTGCAGATGTAGAAATGGAAGTAGCGATTCCATCTTTAAAAAAAATTTCAGGCACTTGTTAAGACCGAAATCAAGACATTTTTATTTGTTAAAAGCAGAGGTGGAGGATTAGGAAGGCAGCCCTTGGCTTGACGGCCAAGCCAAGCCATTGGGCCAAGCGATAGAAATGAGTCATTGACTTACTATTGAAAAAGTCATTTCTGCTTTTGGGCGTTTATGGCTTGGCAGGCAGGGCGGCCAGTGGGCAGCCATCCTCCACCTCTGGTTACAAGCATACCTGCATGTATAATTCTCCCAATGCAGAACCAGAAGATGAGTGTAATCAACATTCCTTCGTCTGGAAATATGTAACCTATTTTAATGCTTTTACGTAGTAGAAGTACGTGTAAATAGTGCAGCGAAACAAATACGAACCAAGATTGACAATAGTGATATATTAAGATTTGAGAGGAAATATGAACAGATCAACGATATTGAAAATTATATTGAATCCTCTACCTCCATTTTTTATTTCATTTCATCACGTCGACTAGTCGGTCTCATTGCCGCTCTCTCATGAGATAATATTCCGACGCCCGTCAGCCCTGGACAAGCTGGGCGCCGTACTGTTCCAACATGGTGAAGCAGTTTATTCGCTGGTACTACCAACGAGACCACATTATTCCCCAACGCTAGCTGTCACGCCGGGACTTATTGAACAACTATTGTGGACCGTAACCCGCGCCGACGACTAACTCTTCGATTATACCATGATTCAGAAGAGATTTTCTTCATCTTACTCTGAAGACTGAATAAATTGTAAATTGTAATTGTAATTGTAATGAACAGATCAACGATATTGAAAATAATATTGACGCCTCTACCTCTATTTCTATTTTCGCAGACGATATCAAAAATTTTAGTTGCTGTCCCAGATCTCTCCAATGCAGCATTAATGGTACCCTAGAAGAGTCTCGCATTTGGTCTCTCCCCCTTGCTTCCGAAAAAACATTTTCAGTTCATTTTGGTCCTGACAACCCTCGAACCCGATACTTTGTCGACCTTCTAGAAATCCCTCAAAGTCCCATTGTTCGTGATCTTGATCTATTTATTGATGATAATCTCTCCTTCACGCAACACATTCCCTTTCAAGTACCACCTCTACGCGGTGATGGGGAGGTAACGCCATTTATGGCGGCTAACGGTACACCGGTCACGCAGTTCGGCTTGCTTCTGCTAACAGAATGGGCGGTCTTTTTTAGCCCTGGCAAGGCAAAAAAAGATAATCAGACCACAATTATGCTATAACACGTTCAACACCATGGATGAAACTTTTTCGCAAGAATACCAGTCAACCAGGACAACACTGGATGACCGATTGCATAAGACCTCCTGGGAAACGTGTGGTCCACACTTCGATCAATAAAAGACAATAAAAGGTCGAAAGCGAAGATGGACCATCTAAGTATCTAAGTAAGTAAGTAATTTCAGCTTCTCTTCTTATTCCGATCGCCTCAATCAGTTTGATATCAAACCTTTGTTCATTCGCCGTGAAGTTTGTGATATAATCACCCTACATAAAATTGTTTGTGGCTCTGACCAATGTCTCGATCGCAATAAGTATTTCACTCAATCCCTGTTACAAAGAAATCCACTTCGACTTCGGACAGCTGGTCAGTTTTCTAATGACTACTTTTCTAGGACTATTCCTCTTTGGAATAAACTAACTTCTTATTTAGATTTTAACGTCACCCCAGAAACCCTTCGGAACAAATTGAATAATCTTCCGAATCAAGCTTTTTATGAAAATATCCCTTCTCGCCTACTGTAAAAAAATTTTTTTCCGGGTACCTTCAACTCGTTGGGGTTGACTCAGTCCCGCGTATTGTTATTCTTCTGCCCGTCATATGTTGATTACTTATACTTTTTCTATACTACCTGATGTTTTTTTACGGCAGTGAATAAACTATTATTATTATGAACAATTTTTTTGTGATAGTCGCTTCTAATATAAGAATATAATATGTGTGGTTATTATGAAACAGCCACCAGATTGAAATAAAAGAAGGAAGAGAGATGTCACAATTCGATCGACCTATTTCTCTCTCACCCAATTCTAGACGCAAAGTGGAAGTCTGACACACTCTAAACACGCTCGGATAGAGACAATTAGACTACTTCAATTGAACATTATCCTCTTTAAAAATGATTTGTTAATTTTAACGATAGCAATCGCTCATGAAAAATAATGAGATTAAAACAAATATTCAGCAAAATTTAAATTAAAGGTAACACAACTTTTTGAAACTCACCAGTTTCAAGCATTTTCAAAACTAGAAGACAGTAATAACCACAAATATGTGCTGATCAGAATCTAGACTCCGCTCATAATTTCATAGTTTCTGGTACGAATAGGCGCAAGTCACTTTGAGTCGGGCGCAGATTAAACCTGTGAGAATGTTGTCCAAGACGTTAATTTTCATTTTTTATAAGCAGACCTTATCTGGTCAGAATCTAGACTCCGCTCATAATTTCATAGTTTCTGGTACGAATAGGCGCAAGTCACTTTGAGTCGGGCGCAGATTAAACCTGTGAGAATTTTGTCCAAGACGTTAATTTTCATTTTTTATAAGCAGACCTTATCTGATCAGAATCTAGACTCCGCTCATGTTCTCATAGTTTCTGATACGACTAGGCGCATGTCAGTTTTAGCTAAAACCGTTAAGATCACGATTCGCCGCGGCGGTTCGAACAAAATTAATTATGACCTCAAAGTTCAGCTTTTTCCGAACAAAGTCGTTTCAAGGTCGGGCGCACGGACTATTTTCAAAACTAGAGCCATTCCTCGTGCCACCATGACTCAATTTATAACTCAAGAATTATTTACTGGAATAAATTTTCTCTAGGAAAGGGAAGAAAAACTCGAGAAATTTCGTTGTTTTTCAATATACACCGAGATGAAGCTATAAATGAAGAAATGAAAGTTTTGAAGATTCCTTGCAGAAATTTTCCATTTTTTTTTCCTTTTTTTTCGTCTACTGGTTTCATTTGCTACGAAAATGTGTTCCTTGGTTCGAAATATCACTAGAAACCTTTAAAAAGTGTCTTTTTTTTCAAATATTATTGTTTCTGAAAACGGAAGAAAATGCGGGAAAACGTTAGGATTTAACTTGAGAAAGTAAAATGGCAAAAATGTACTTTGAGAAGCTTTTTACAGTCAAAAATTGATTTTTTCCCTTCTTGACTTTGAAACAATCTTCCCGACACCTACGCAACTCCAAAATACGTCCCAAAATGTCGCAATTTTCCAATTATTCTCCTTGAAAAAGGTTAGAAAATAGCCTTTTCGCGGGGAAAGAACTTTGATAATTGAGAAAAAGTCCTTTAAAAGTCGAAAGTTCACAGAGTTCATTGGAACCTTTAAAAAGCTAAAGAAAGAGACAAAAATAGCTGTCTGAGAAGCTCAAAGAATATTCTCAGGGTCCTCAAAATTTCTGAGATTCTTCAGAAATTGGATGAAAAAACGGGGAACGAAGTTTTCGGGACGTTCAATGGAGGCGGAAAAAGTGTAGACTTTGCGTTTGAAATGAAAAGTCTAGGCGAGTATTAGGCGAGGCTCAAGGAGGGGTTCACGGAAATTGGAGATGGAAATTGATGAATTTCATGCACTTCTGACCTTTTCCTCATGTTTTTTTTGGGCTTAGGGTCGAGAAAGAAAAAAGACGGAAAAAATTAAAATGGTTGCATTTCGTATGAGGGGGCCGCAATAATTATTGGAAAAAAGTATTTTCATGTTCTAAAATTGGTCTTCTTCAATTTTTCTCATTATAAAGTGTTTCTTGAGCAAAAATAAGCATTTTTGAACATTTTTTAAAATTTTTTGTGCAAAGTTATCTGTACAATCCGTTCCAAATATTTGGCTCGAAAAATAAAAAAATTAATTTCTGAGATTTTGTCAGAAAACTATGACCCCAAAATCAAATTACTGCTTTACGAAAGTTAAAAGTCGGGTTTTTAAAGATTTTCCAATGAGTCCGGATCTTAATTTCTATAAAAAACGACCGAAATACAGTAACCTCCTCCCCATGTTCTATATTTGGGAAGGTTTGTCATGCTATAAAGTACGGACTTTTACGAAATGCGACCGCCTATAAAATACGACCGGTTTTCTTGTGCTCTACTGCAAATTAATAAAATACGGGCGTTTCTCAATCTTAACTCTTTCGCCTTTTCTGGTACTTTTTCTTAAATTTTCAATTCTTCCTAATTTTTCTTTTGAAGAAAACTATTCAAAGCAGTACTACGACGAAATAATGAACTCATTATGAAATTTTCAACATTCGAACGAAAAAAAATTTTAAAACCTCTATAGGGTCCAATTAAGCGTCATGGGCTAGACTCTCATAGAGACCACCTAAATCTCAGCAATCTGTCCAATTTAGGGTCTTTTTTCTCCTTACCCCTACAGTGACCACTCAGGCCTAAGTTCCTGGGTTTCCCCATCGAAAAAAAGTCACATCTGCGCCCTTTTTTTTTACTATCTCTAGGTTCATTTATTTCTCCCAGCCTCCCTAAAAAAGATTCTATTTGCCGCCTACTCTTTTCAGAACTTTTTTCATCTATTTTTTGCTTTGTTTTATAATTTCCGAATATTTAGCTGATAATTCTCTATGAAACTGTCAAGTTTAATCTGATGAATGATGAAAAATTAATCTGATAAGTGATCGAAAAAAACAAGACCGAATTTACTTTTTTTAATGGTTCAAAAACCGGTTTGAAATTTAATTTTTCTTTTTCTAAAAAAATTGGTGAGGTCATTTTAAACCTTTTTATGACGTCATAGAACCAAGTTAGTGTTCTTTTTTTTGTCAGCAAATTCGTTTTTGATTGAATTTTTCTCACCGAGTTTTTGTGTGGAACACATTTTTGAATATTTCTTTGACGTCATACAAGATAGTTTATGACGTCATCATCATCGAGAAATCTCCAGATTTCATTTTTTTCTCCGTTATTTCTGAAAGTGGATTTTTATTTTTGAATTTCAATCTTTCTAAATGCAAAAAACATTTTCCTTCAACTTTATTCTTCCCAAAAACCCCCTTTTTTTCTCATTTTTTTCTCATTTTTTTAGTACTTTTTTTCTCTCAGAATCTAATCTTTTTATGTTTTAAGAGATTTTTCCTTCAAAACCAACTAACTCACCTAATTTTTTTAAACTTGTTCCAAAAATTTACTAATTTTTCTCATTTTTTTGAACATTTTTCCTTTCAAAAAAATGCACTGATTCCCCTCATTTATTATAATTATTATTCCAAAAAAACCTTCTTTATTGAATATTAGTCTTTCAAAA